TTATCCTATTCGCTAGAAGTCTGTAACTTATTTTCATCTGACTATAAATATTGATTAACTCTTCATTAAATGGAGTCGGCTCACATGCCTCCTCCATTGCGCGTCATTTCTCTTCGCTCTCTTGTATTAGCTTCATCCCTCACATCTCTTGTCCAGATCAGTGAGTGTACAAAATATATACATACAAAAATCCATTCTTGTACTCAACTTATTTAATTCCTTTATTCACCAAAGCGATTTAAGTCGATGAAATATACGAGGATAGATGACATAGGTATTTCGATGACAATCAGCATACAATCCAGTTGGAGTCAGATCCAGGGCCGCAGAAGTACTTAGCATTAACTTATTATTCATATATGAACAATATGTATTCCAAGTGTTTACCGACTTACTGTTTCTGTTAGCTTATTTATCGTTATCTACATATTTAAAATTTAACATATGGTCAGAAACAATTTCTTGTGTGAATAGTTGTATTTTGAGTCATGTTTAGTGATGAATTTATACTTTATTTTTCTTTTATACGCTATAGAAGTAAGATGTTTCACATTATGGATATTACATGCAAAGCAACAATATATTTGAAGTATTTTTAATACACGTTTTCTATGAAGAACTTTTTATATTCAGTTTAAATGATCTGCAAGATCACTGACGAATACAGGAATTTGTAGAAGATTTGACCTTAGATCATTATCCTTTGTATACGTTACGCTTGTTTCAGAATTTTGAAAAGTGTTTACGTTCACCCAACAAAGATTGAATAACAATGTACCAAACCTGTGCAAACTAGGGTAAATATCTTTTCCTATAAAACATATTGGTAAGTTTGGGATAACATAAAATGTTGACAACTGAAATACTTAAGATTGTCTCAAGAACGAAAACCAACTCTTTCCTTCCTCGGCTGCATCAAAGCATCTAGGGACCGTATGTAGAAAAATTTCATGTCCATGAAAAAATTCAGTGTTCAACTGAATTTTCAGCAAGAAAGAAAGATATTATGTTGATTGAATATCTTCTTTTGTTTAGTTAGTTATACACAGATTCATATTGATTCATTTAACTTCTTAAAGTCAATGCTCTTAAAAATCTGTTCACATTTTGTTTGATGATATCCATGATAGTTATACACCAAATGTTTGGCTGTCTTTTAAATCATCTTCAGCATATTTAAAAAGTATTTAAATTTTTAAAAGCTACGCTTTTACAATTTATTTACGCTATTCATTCTGCGCATTTTTCAGATGTAGATTATGCATGTCCTCGATTTCGAAAAACCTTTACAAAAAAGTACAAACTAGAAATTCATCGAGCACTGTTTCATGGAGGTAAGGTAGTGGATTGTTCAAAGATAAGTTGCATCATAGAAAGGTCATTTGAGGAACTAGTGAAAAAAGAGTGTTACATGCATGTTTTATCTTAGTTTGATGCTTTTTATATGACCTCACCTTCGATTCCTTACTAAATAAATCCTTGATCATTCAGTTTTCTTAGAAAGCCTATAATTTATGTGAAAATGTGATGATCCACATTTCGGATGTTGCTCTGTTTTCATTTTAGTGTTATCATTATCAAATTATATTGACGAATAATACAGTAATCCACTGTCCCTTCATTTTTTATGATTTATGTAATACCGATTTTCGGAATTAATACTTCATTCAAATACCTTATTATGAAGCTATTCAGATGGTAATCAGCTATTTATTTTCGCTGGTAATAAAACAGGAGTTTCATCAGCAACTACGGAACTCATGTTCACCTTTGTTCTCAATGATCAGTGACAATACAACGTGTAGTCAGTTTTAGCATGATGTAAGCTCATTCAGTTTATTGTCGATACTATAAACGTGATTCATAGAAATCAGTCAGTATTACGGATAACATTCCATCGACTGTTGATCAGCGTTAATCTTTCACTTACTTGATAATTCATCTGAATGATCAACATATGATGTGTGTGAAAGAAATTTAATTAGTAATCTAATACCATCTGTTAACTTGTTGAATAGCAGACTAAAGTTCTTCAAGCCCACTATAACCATGACTCCCATGTTCTTTTGTAATTTCACTGTCATAATCATATCTGTGTAGTACTCTGTGTAAGGCTTAAACTAAAAGTCAAACGACCATAAGGTTTATATCCTCAAGTATTGCACAGTGAAATGATAAAAATAAAAAGACATCAAATCACTTTTAAGATAATGTGTATCTATTTTCGATTTATTATATTTAGTGGTTTTTATTATGCTATGGAAAATGTTTCATCACTTTGTTGAATAATTATTAAAATTAAACTGGGAACGAATGTGAAATCTATCTTCGTTATATGAATATTCAGACAGATTTTATTGACCTGTAAAGCGACCAAATTAGATGTAGCCAATAATTTCCTGGTTACCATTGATACTTGCTTCCAAAAGCTAGAATAGGTTATTTTGGATATGCATTTAATGTTATATGTGTGAAAATATATTAAACTGAGATGATAAGGATTGTGAATGGTTTAACAGACATTAAGAAGTAATATAGGTAAAAACAGGAAAATATTTAATTAGCCTAGACTACTGCCTATCATATCACTAACCGAGTATTGACATATTTATATTTTAATTTTTAAACCATACTAGAAATACTATATGACTATCTTTAATGGAAATATCATAGGTAAGGTGAAATTCTTTCTCCTAAAATTACGATGAGAATACAAATAGTCAGATTACTGAGAAATTGTCTCAAAATTCAGAATCAATTGAAAAGTATAAGTGGTAATCTATCCAATAGTTTTTTGTCAACATGGATCTCGGCATAAATGTGCATCTGTCTGAGTTATTAATTGAGGATTTAAACATGATAAATGAATTTCCAATGAAAAAAACTATCGAAGAAAGGGAAGTCAGAAATGACACCTAATTGAAAGAGGAGGAATGTAACTAATTTGCAATGACTGATTTCATGTTTTGTCACTTATCGTCTTCGATCATGAATTATGGATATTATATGGGCTTCAGTCAGGAGATGTACATTTACGACGAGGCTCAGACCAGTGGTCAATAACTTGATGTATTGATAATATGATATAATTTATCCTTTTATGGCTATTTCTTAACCTATTTCTATATCAGAAAACTTTGTACATTATGATGGTAGGCGGTGGATAGACATGAGATAATCAAACTCATTAGCTTTAGATTATTAGATCCACTGAATTTGATAATTTTCTATTCTTCTTATGTTATTGACTTCAGGCACAAAATTACCATTATTGTAGCAAATCATTTCCTTATCAACTTCGACTTAATGATTATGTTACTATTAAGGTGGGTTACTTATTACTAATGATGTACTTTTAAGTGAATAAAAAGATATCATTAAATGGTACTGACATTTGGTACTAAGCAGAATTATTTTACTCAAGTTCATAATCGAAATTATCGTTTGTTTCATCCCTAGTCAGTGTTGGTCTTAACACGAAACAGATGGTAACATCGACCATTACAAATGACTAAGGTTTATGTAACAGAATGGTTATTATTGTGTTTTAGTCCCTGTCATATATTTTCACAACCAAATTATTGATATTCCTTCGTTGAAGTGGCTTACACTGACTCACGAAATGTCAGGGCATCTAATTTTTCTACTCACTTGGATATTACAAATATATTATTGTAATCTCCATGTTGGACAAGGGTACCGGGCAAAAGTGGGCAAATTGGTTGAGGTACTGAATCCTTATTGACTGAATTTGCTGGGACACGTATTTTGTGTGCCCAACCACCACCTACATCACCTGGCCATGTTCGCTGGTACAAAGAAAAAGCTAAACAATGATATCGCATCGATAGATGAAGTCTGTTGGTCTTAGCCATGTTGGTAGATGATGACTACACGCCTGGGGTCTACATGATAATCGCCACCAATGGTTAAAGACGTTGGATGTGATAATTCAGAAGCGCTCAAAATTGTATAGATAGGTTTACTGTTTATGTTAACATTGGATATTGAGTTATAGTACTCTTTCACACATACATATCTTGTCGGTCGTCTTCAAGTCATTCTGAATGTTTGGCCTCATCATTTTTTCCACTGTATTATTTCGACCGTGTTTGGTATTCACCTTATTATGCTAATGTGTAGTATTGTAACCTGTGCAGACGCACACATATTCCAGGCTTTAAGCAAACTAAAACTAATTTACTGAAAGGCATAAGTGTCCAGAGAATGTGTTTCACAAAAAATACTAGCGATGAAATGATATATTTTTATACTATTTAAAGATTTGTAATTTGATTCGGTTATTTATTTATTTACTCTGAAGAAGTGGCTTATGCAAAGTCACGAGTTCAACTTCTGATTCACTGGAATATCATAGGTATATTATCGTTTTATATTTAACTTCTTACTTAATGCTTCACTTATTCAAAATGATCAAATCAAACTTTTCTATCAATACCGACAGAAAATGTTGGGTTAGTTAGATAGGTTTTTGATAGTTGTTAAGATCTAGTGAGTTGACATTCTGCACAATACATTACACAATCTATAGTTACACAATTTTTAAACATTGTAAGCAAAGATGGATAGTGGCTAGCACTGGAATCGAGGCAATACGCACAGTATACACATATATGCCAATTGGAGACTGACCAGTTGCAGTCCTAAACACCATTGGGAAGATTCAAACAAACAATACTAAGTGAATTTTTAAACAGATCATTATCATAAGCAATGAACAATTAGAAAGTAAACGTTTATTATGAAATAATAGTTTTATTAATTACAAGTTATCAAAGAATACTGGGATAAGAATTCTGTATACCATTATAGATTCTTTTTTGAGGAAAAATAATTTTTATGAAAATAATGTATAAATTAGAACAAGTTAATTAGCAGTTATTTAAAGAAAATAATAATAATAATAATTCAATATTTGGGTATTTCGGTTGATTAAGGTTCAGTATATTGTTTGTTGGTGCTGATTGGATACTTGATAACTAGGTTTTAGATAGATGAATTGGAGTATATAGTGTCACTGATGCTATACATTCACTGCTTGGAATAATCTACGTATATATGTAGAAAAAGTTCAGAAGATGATAATTATTTAATGAGTATCAAAGAAAATGGATAATACCTGAATTCACGGTGATGAAATGTAAACATTCTCAAGTACAGATCTATGTAGTCGGTTTCATATTCTACTGTGTGTAACGCCTGTTTTTAGCACTCATTTGTTCAAATCAAATAGAGGAAAGGATGACTGAAACCATAAGTCTATGTTTGAAATCCGAGTGCTATCTATCTATCTATCTTAATTATTACTAATGGCTTTATTCACTATTTTATTATCTTTGCGCTTTCCTAGAAACAAAGTTTTTGTAGTCAAATGATTTGAAATACACCTCAAATGTGACCGCTGAAGTTCAATACAAGACATAAACAATATCAAATTTAAAAATGAAAGTTCAATCACCTAGAGATAATTATCTATATATTAGTATTGTGCTTTTTTTCCACCAAATTACGTGGACATTACACTTACCTCAAATATAATATCCTGATAACCATATGCATGTGTTGGACCAAAAGGATTCTGTTGTGGTTTCGATTCTCTATAAATAACTACTGGTTCAGTATCCATTGATGAAATTAAATGTTGTCGGACATCAGACCACTTTTGTATTAATTTAATATTATTAAGCATAAGTTTTTTTTAAAAAAAAGTGACAATGAAAGTTTGCTATTAATTTTCAGCTAATTTTAAACAATTCTATACACATTTATTTTTAAAAGTTTATAGTTTAAACAACAAAAAATATATATTATTCTACAACATAATGTAATTAGCTTATTCTTGTCAATACTTTTCATTATGACCCTACATACCATAAAATTTAGATTATAAGGTCAAATTAAACCTAATTAGGAGGGGGTATTAAATGTGGAAAATAGAGTAGAGAAACTAACGTGTAGATATAAAGATAGTTTGGAAAAGAGGTCCAATCAACAAGTCCCTAATAAGATGTTAGTGAATATTTGTAATTCAGAATCAGGATTCTTAAAATGTTTTGTTTTGCTAGCTCCATGGTTAAATTGCGAAGATTTTATTGTCTCTGTTGATAAAAAGTGTGTTATTAGAATTTCCCTACAACTGTTAACAGTTTGTTTTGCTGACAAAGAATTTGGTCGATTGTGGTTCATTATTGCGTCTGTTATTTGTTTGAATTATTTCACTTCCGACCTGATGTCTAATCTCACGGTTTTTTATCGTTCTCCTTACTGGTTAAAAGATTGAGTCGACTTCGACAACAGTGAGTTACACTAAAATAAAGCATGGTAGATATCCTGATAGCTAATTTAAGGCTTAAGGAGGATTCATTACAGAATATGTGTTAGTTAAATCAACACCCTACACATATGCATTTAAAAGCTTTAACGCTCATGCTAGAAATCTCAGATTTTAGTACCGTTTTGATGAACAAATAATTAGAAGTATAGAAACCAAACGAGAGCGCTGGGTTATTTCTTTGCATAATGATGTTTGTCATACATCATACACTTTACTCGATCTGTTAAGTTTCCGATAAGTCACAGTCCTTCGCTCTTGCCAAATAGTTTTTTCGATCATCTTACAATGAGGTTATTAGTAGTACTGATTCAACATATCAAGCACTATGTCTTAATGTTAGATGGTCGGCGAAAACTGGAAGGAAGTTTTAGACTATGATGAGTGCAGTGAATTGGAATCCTACAAGGAATCAAATTATTTTCTAAATGTATTATTTAGGGAATAAATTCATTAATGAAACAATCAATTGACCTACATTATAATGAATCTTTAAAATAATGAGAATTAACTGATTCAATGTTAATCACTACGTAATACACCTTTAATTGGTTTATACATTAGTTTTAGCTATGCAATTGGCAGTAGATGAAATCTATTAATAATTAACTTTTAATAACAATATATGAGTATTGAAGATAACTGAATTTATTCTAACACTTTTAAGATATAGAATAATGACTGAAAAATTAAAAAAAACAGGTTTTGTTTATCCGGTATCTTTTCATGCTAATTACAATCAAACTAAATAAGATTTTATTCCATGCAGGTCAAATTTACAAAAGTCAAGTAAAACTCATCAGAAACAAAACACTTTCAAGTAGACATTTTTATATTTATTTTTAATAAAATAATTTTCTGTAAAAGATTTGTAAATGCCCTGGTACGGCCGAGAGTGGGGAAAGACTGCTCTCCCTCTCGAAATGCTCTCACATGGCCACGCGTATATAGCCTCTGTCAGAGAAGTCCTACTCATTGCTTTCTCGTAGCAGAGGTGTTGTTTACAAAATTGAGAGGACGAAAAGCGAATGCCCGGCGCTTTAACCGAGTTGGAGGACACGAAACGTTTACCTAGCGGAGTTGGAAAACACTGATTCCAAACCAATGGTGCACATGGGCTTCACGATCCTGAGGGAACAAATGGCATATGAATCAATCGTTGATCACCGGCTACCATGGGAGTGTATCTCCTTACGATGCTCCACTGCCTTGTGGATCAGACCTTTAGGTCAAAGGCTCTGGGTGTGGTCCCCTAAGAAAACCACCTGCTTCAGTTTGAGCACCTGGGTAGTATCACAGCCCTCACACAAGTCAAATGAGATTTGTGTGGTGCATATATATCTGGTGCCCCTTTGTACCAATACTTATGTGTCCAAATAAAGGAAAAAAATAAATGAATTTGCTCACCTTTGAGAATGGCGTTACTAAATACTTTGTTTCATTTAGTGAATTATCTGTTTCATCAGTTTCAATATTTGTATTCTCTTTGGATGATTTTACAATGGGAATCGGTATTTCAAAAAGACATCGATAATATCTATGAGAGTAAAGAGACATCTGTGTAAAAACTACATTGTATCTCTTTAAAATGAGACATAGATTTGTGGAAAAAAACAGAGTGACTATAGATGAAAAATCAAAGTAAAATAAAGACGTGAATACTTCAATAGCTAAGATAAAAAGTTCTAGATTTGTTTCAATTAAAGCCTTAAAGGCCAAACTAACATACATGTTATGAATTAGGCCTTCTATGATTACTAATGAAAATACGGAGGTTGTTAAATTAAACGTTTTGATCAAACGATAATGAGGAACGATATAATGTGCTAAATGATAACTGCTCATGAAACTGAATTATACACGTAAGTCCTAGGTCGAGCTGACATCAGAAGATAGCTGCCTAGTAGGATAGGCTTTTTCATCTAACAAAATAGCACGCTTATGTACAAAGTATTATGAACAAAAATGGTCATAATTAGAATTCATTTACCAAATAAAAGATTAGATGATTTAGCAATTATAAGCAATTCATTCACCAATGGAAATCAATGCCTATCAGGCTTGGCCAATTATATCATTTCAGCATTTAATACCTTGGCAAGAATATCTTAATATAGTTGACGAAGTTGGAAATGTTCGATGTTAAAGAGTTGTACCATTGTTTTATAAATGAAGGAAAATAGGTAAATGACAACTAAACAAGGTGCCGTACAATTGTATAGTATTTGTATGCGACACTATTCAAAGACATTGATTTAATTGGATTTAAATAAATACCAAAGTTACACACTACCCCCAGGTAATTATTTTTGCAATGCCAAGTAATTTTTTTGACTATTTTTTAAAAAAGGTAATACAAACACGTACGTGTTAAATGTATACTCTCCTGGTTGATTTGTATGCAAAACAAATTTCATTACTTTATGAGTTTGGGCATCAAATAATACATCCAAGCCAAGTGAAAAATAATTGAAAAAATAATCCGATTTTCTAGGTTGCACAAGTCGGTGCGATTGAGGAAGATGAATTTTCATTTTATCCTCAGTTTTATAAAATACACGACTTGGAGAACCTAAGGCTGAAAGTACATCCTGATTGACGGAAAACATTGAGAAACAAAAAGATATACTTTTAGTGCGATTTAAGTAGTATACTTCTAAAGACTAAAAATAATTCTGTGAAATTTTTTTAAACGGACAAGGAATCAAGAAGCATTGTGTTGTCTTAATAATGACTAATACTCATAGACTATTTAAAGAATAGAATACGCAATAACAACGAGGAAGACCAATACTCTATGCCTGAAGGTTGGCCTAATGCTAACTAGCCCCGAACGAAGAGGAAGAACAAAATCAATGGCCACCTGTCACGCCATAAAATAAAGAATAGCATTATACATGGTCAGGCCAAAAAGTGTCACAGAGTAGGGTATTTTGTGAATAATATGTTGGTAATAAATTAGGAATAGTGAATCATCTAACACCGGTTAACGGGTTAATAGAAAGCTTACGATAAAAAGCATGTATCTTTAATAAACAATTTACTTGATATTTATACAATAAGAATATATGTATAATAATAGTCTACAAATTGGCCCTGCAACTTACCATTCCTTTAGTTTTCATTCACATATAACACATTGTACTGCCGTCCTTACTTATATTAGTGTTATACTACAGCTCTCTTCGGAGAGTAAATAATTTTCAAAAAGCAATCCACTAAAGAATGAAAATTAGGCCTGGTGGTCAGACCTCATTAATTCTGATGGTATTCTACCATCGATTTTTGACGAACCATTAGTCACAGTCATTTTGTGCCGACCTGGTTTTTAATGGATGTTTAATTTAGGTCGTTTCGTAATAGTGACATCATTCAATAATCACCACAAATTTCTAAAGTGACAGAGTGTATTCTAATTTTATCAAATAACTACAAGTTAATTCGTTACGACAATGAGGAGGTTAGTTGCTGAGAAAATAAGATAGAAGAGTCTGTTATACTCTTGAACTGAATAGTATACATGCAAAACTACGAAGAATTATTGTCAGGTCTTCACAGAACTAAATGTTGTTATACCACTTTTTGTTTGATCATGTATAATTGTTGTCATTTTATGATGTGATTTGGTCTGATATGCCTACGGCTGAGTGAAATATAACATTGAGCCTGGCTACTGACTTCTGGATTCAAGGTTATCAAAGCTAGTTGGATGTGCAATTGGTCAACTCAGAGATACTCAGTCGTGATTCTGATTGCTGGCTTTGTCACGTGGTTTAGGTCAGTGGTCACAAGACATGATAAAAGTTTAATTTTGTTGGTTCTTCTACCATTTGTGTGAAGTGAACTATTACACTTCAATTCATAATACACACTTCTACGACGCACCATACTCCATCACAGAGTTCTTGCTAGTGATAATTGGTTCCCCATTTGACATAGGGTTTGAATAATAAAGGTACCACTATGGTTTAGATCTAGTTTCCAGGAAACTAAGGACAACACATCTTGAGTTTGAATGAGATAAAGTCAATAAAATAATGGTAAAAAGGATTGAAGATTTAAGAAACTGATAGTGCCACTATGAAATCGACACTTGCCCGTAAGATATTTTATCGATAAAAAGATAATTGAGAGACTGGATTATTGTTAATGATCTTAACAAATTCAGAAAGCGAGTATAAATCTAAAAGGGACTGATCATACACCTTTAATAAAAATTGACTACGATCTCATCAAGTTGTCTCCACACTTTTATAAAGCCGAAAATCGGCATTGGAATTTCATATGTGGTTTAGTGGTTAAGAAGTTTAACCTTTAGTCTTCAAGTCCCAGGTTCAAGCCCGACCCACCTACTTTAGTTTGCGTGACCGGAAAGTGTCACTAGACCCCACAGATCTCTTTAAAATAAGATATTGAAACATAACTCCCACCTAAACACATAATTTAATAATCATGTCAATCAGACTACTAAAACTGAAGGGGTCAACCAAACACAAGGTTTAAAAATAATTTTAACAAAATTCGCTTTGACAAAAGAATAGTGCCTAATCACAAACCTGAACAGAATCTCCAAAAGTTAGAGAGCGAGTGAACCGACGGATCTGGGGTTCACGAGTTGGGTTCACATTTAAATCTGAAGAAATGAGAAAAACAAATATGGATGAGTAGACTAAATGTCACTCAATTAAAACTGGAGTAAAGAAAATGAGAACACTTTAATCTCAAGTGGGGAATTACTGTACAACCAAATACTAATCGATTACTAACATTAGAGTTATTATTAAGTGTGATTCATATTCTTTTACCGATTAGTATTTAGCATTGATCACTTTTACATTCAAATTAGTCAAGAAACTAATACTAAAATAAGTATAATAAACAATAAGAGTCCAATCTGTGATGGTTTTAAATAACAGCTTATATTAATAAAGCGATTTCATCAGTCACTCTTATTTGTTTCGAGTACACTTGAATTGAAAATGGAGATATCTTGTAAGGAACCCAGCGTAATCATTTTCTTTTTTTCTTTTGCACTGCAAATCCCTTCCCTCATCTCGAATCATATCGTCTATGCTGGATCTTACCTACTACTACTCCTACTCTTACTTCTTTGCTATTCTGTTTATCTTAATTATTTCATCTCACTGTTGCCCCCAAATGCCCTGGTATGGCCGAGAGTGGGGAGAGTCACCTCTCCCTCTCGAAATACTCTCACATGGCCAGCGAATATATAGCCTCTGCCACACAAGTCCTACTCACTGCCTTCTCATGGAGGGGGTGTTGTGTACGAAAGTGAGAGGACGAAAAGCGAATGTCCGGCGCTTTAACCGGGTAGGTGGACATGGAGGGTCCACCTAGGGGAGTTAGAAAACCCTGATTCCAAACCAGTGGTGCACATGGGACCCAGTATCCTGAGGGAACAAATGGTGTAAGAATCAACCGTTGATCACCGGCTACCATGGGACTGCATCTCCTCAAGATGCTCCACTGCCTTGTGAATCGGACATTCAGGTCAAAGGCTCCGGGTGTGGCCCCATAAGAAAACCACCTGCTTCAGTCTGGGCACCTGGGCAGTATCACAGCCCTCACACAAATCGAATGAGATTTGTGAGGCGCATATTTATCTAGTGCTTTTTTGTACCAATATTTATGTGTTTAAATAAATAAATAATAAACATATCACTGTAGTGACAGAGAGTTGGAACTTGAACTGATACACAAGCGACTGGTCCCATGCTGCTTATAACTGACTCACTGAATCGATTTTAGTGTTACAGCTCCCATGTTAAATAAAGTATTAAAATTATATTATAATCATTTACTATCATATTTCAAAAGGTTGAATAAGGAATGTAATGCTTATCAATAAATATATTACAATAGAATCAAAGTATAACAAATAAAAACACCAAAAAGTTACGTAGAAAACAAGAACAACACGACATACCTTGAGCAACAAGATGTAAGGTTAAGTCTGTAGTTGAATTGACTGATCTGTTGACTTCGAGCCTTTCAAGAAAAACATTTTGTAAATAGCATGCACTAGGTAATTCAACTGGGACCCTAGAAATAGATTATAAAGAAACAAAATCAGTGTTATTTAGATGACTGAGACGAGAAACAATGAAAATACCTTGAAAAAAACAAACAAAATACGTACATATAATGCATGGTTATTGATACGCCGGATAATCACCATCGAGAGAATCCAGGGTAAGTGAGAAGCGTTATATGAGTAAATTTTTTATCTAAGATCACTATTCCCAACCGTAGCTGCTGCCTTGACGTGGTCGTCGGGCGTGCCTATTAAAGTTTTACGTTGTTGCTGACTGACTAAAGATCACTATTCATATATCCCTGTATGAATCAGTCTAGTATTATATAGATGGAAGATGTGGGTAAATACTAATTCCAAATTTGTCAATTACAGTTTCATATACACTCAGTATTCATGATTTCCATAAGTGGTTAGGGAAGTGTGCATTGTGACGGAATTTGATAAGAACACAGTATGCATAAAGTGAATTTAGTGAACGTTAATAGTGTTTATTTATGTAAACATAGCTTAATCGCTTGGCTTTAGGACTGTTGACGATAGACTTTAAGGCGAAACACGCCCATACTAATTTAGCTCGAGTAAATGCCTGTTTTAACCCTTACTCAATAGTATATATATATATATATATATATATATATATACTAAAAATGATGAACACACTGATCAGCAGCATTTTTATTAGTTTACGGCTGCAAAACAGAGTAAAAGATATACGTAACTGACAAATATTTGGTCACATACGTCACCGTACTACTACTGGAATTATTGAGACAGAGTAGAACACAGTATTCTAAACAACACGTATTTTAACTGATTAACTCGAGAGCCTGTACCGGGATACGACAGGGAAGTCATACTTTTGGCTTTACTGTAGTGCTATTTTCCACAGATGACCAGCATTTTAATAATGATGTTGAGGTCCGTCTCTAACAAAATGATTGACTAATTTTGGTGCAGATGAATGATGTTTAGATGATCCAGTAAAGCTGTAAATGAAACATGCACAGCATGACATCAAAAAATTGCTTGTCAATGTATTACATTTTCCGCCAATCATTGATTACCATAGATTTGGGTTGATAGAGCATACTTTTTAAAGCCGGGTTACTGAATACCATACAATGAGTAACGTACCATTTGGTAATTAACGATAACGAGGAAAAATGGTAATATTAATTATAGTGCGAATTCCAAAAGAAATAATTCAAAAGGAGAGAGCGGGATGAAAATTATGGAATCATATTAAGTTTAATATGTAAAATATAAAGAATTAACACAAATCCTCTACCATGGATGAATTTTTGGCCATTGTTTACGGTTTCTAACCAAACATATTAGAATTATTATCCAGACCCTAGCGAGGAAGTTAACATTTCATAGCCTAAATTATCAGCCGAAATACGACTACTCAATTGTGTTAACCAGGCATTAATTATTTACCTGATTCTAAATCCTGAGGATTATATTATACAACTAGTTGTTGAATTACATTTGATTTATTACTTTTTCTTGGATTCTCTTGTATTTATTTCACAGTATCGCAACGAAACCTAGTAGTGTGCTAGTAACCTTGTTGCTTCAAATGCCAAAAAAGACAAGGGGATGGTAACAATAGTAACCATAAAAATTAAGAAATAAAATATTTTTAAACTCAGTAGTACTCACTTAGCTTCGGCTAAATTACTACCCAGGTAAATAAATAATCGTGTAGCAAGCAGATCAGACTTGGAATCAATCGATTCACGACTTCCAGTAGAGAACCTTCGCAATATGAAGGTAATACCTCGATAAGTTAATTGGTAGTCACCATCTGACTCTGCTGGAGCTGTTTTTAACACAGAGAAATTATATAATGACTATAAATGGTGTAACAGGATACGTGAAAATGTTAATTAAGTATACTGTGACGCAAATTTAATATTGAAAGCTTAGTACTTATGTATACGACTAATTCTATATTAGCTGAATACTGGACTTCACTATAAAATATCTAAAAATATGCCAAGTCTGTGCTTTGTATCTTATAAGCCACGTAAGTGCTTGAATTATGAGGATTTATTAGGATATGGAATAAACGAATATTAATCATAAGATACGAAGCGAGAGCTAATTATACCCTTGATTCTAAATTATGGTAGTCGACCCCAAGATTTTAGCTAAAATGGGCCTTCCAGCCTAATTAGCCTAATATGACTGCAAGCGAACGTCAGAAAATAATTTCAGTCAGTCAGCGACAACGTAGGACCAGGCACATATATGCATCGGTTCAAGTTGCCATACCTCGTTAGCACAACAAGATGAACACCGGATTCATAGAAGTAATTAATTTAGTGGTGGTAGTATATAAAGAAAGGTTGTATATAAGGATATAGTATAGGAAGGAAGAAAGTTATGAAGTAATTTTAATCTCAAGGTTTAAGGGAAGATAAAGAGTGTATACACCTACGCCATTGTGATCGATTCTGAGCCATGTCACCCAGAGTCTCCAACCATTGGTTACGATAGTCACGCGGACCACAACCAAGTAGTCTTCATCTACCAACATGGATCAGACTAGAAGTTAGTGACTTCAAGCACTGATGCCATGTTTTGGTTTGGCCGCCCCTAACTCTTCCAACCATCCCCTACACTAGTCAACATTGCGCGTCGTGGTAATCGATGTTCAGGCATACGTAACACGTGGCCCAACCATCTCAGTCGATGAAGATTCATGACCTCATCAACTGATTTACCATCATTCCCTAATACCATCCGTCTAACCTCACTATTGCTTACCCGGTTATCCCAGCAGATGCGAGCAATATTTCTAAGGCATCTGTAATTTCACAGCCATCAAACTAATGAATTGAGTAGCAGTTTCACCAGAGTAGTTTAAATAACGACCAAGTAACAACCACATATTATAAGTTCCTGAAAAGTTGGTTCGGGAAACTTATACTACGTGCATTCGTCTACAAACAGGCTTAATTCCGAAAATTTTCCTCATATACTGAGCATTACATTGCATCTTCAATATTTACCTTTCAATCATATTACTTTGGATTACACAAATCGTACCTATAGGTACGGGTATAGGTATCTGTTAGCAAACCAAGAATGAATAAAAAAACCGAGTCATTAACTCAGGGAACTTGTTGCCCAAACTTTCAGTTCAATATCTCTGTCACGAGCCTGCTTAGACCAACTGATTTCTTTGCGCTCACTTCTTGACGTTTCGGTGCGGTTTGTTATTTCGTAATATCCAATAGGTGGTGGTCTAGCCAATCAATTGCACTGATTCTAGTCAGTGTGGTAGTTGTTTGTAGATTTGTATATCTTGTAGTGAGTGCGTTTGTCTCAGTGAAGTACGGATTTTGGATAACAGCAGAAATCATAATAGCAAACAGGAAGTTTGTTGGATGCAATGTGACAATTCATGTGCTAATAGAAGATAATTGCTTCAAAAATAAACCAATAATTTGCTAAATTGGTAATGTGTAGGAAGACGGAATTGAAGGAATAAGAGGGGAAACAGAAGTGCTAATAAGAGACAAAGGAAGCAGTTGGTGATATGCGGTAATGATGACCGTGGTAATTTGAGACTCGTTGAAAAAGACTGGACACTCACAGCCAACTGACATAGACCGTTAGGCTTACGTCCTCAGAACAAAAATTTAAACCTGCTGATTCACATTTAACATGCATTTTTCTTTCAGACTACTTTGATGGGTGCAAAAATTTATGGCAGGACGTACATATGCAATGGAACTTAATAAAGCCAAGAAATAAAGCACAGACTGTAGAACACACATAAATAAAGGGCCCCAGTTTGGAGAATAACCATTTTAAGAGAATCTTAAACACTTTTACATACCCAGAGGTTTTGTGGATCCGAATATTCTTAAAACCTCCTGCATTGTTGGTAGAATAGATGGACTATTAAAATACTGAGACCTGAACTGTAAATTAAAAATGCAACCATAATTACCAATACCGTAATGTGATGGAGGACAAATCAAAAATTTCGATGATCTATACAAAATTAGGAAACAGGGATACCAACCCTTAGTCTTTGTAAAAATGGGTCAAAATGGAACTTCACACCATCAGCAGGCAGCACTAATACCAAATTCATGCTGAAAGGATCCTTATCACTATACCAAAAATCAACATTTTTAATTGTATGATCTTGTTTTCGTAGAATGTCAATCATTTGTTGAATGGGCATCCCAAGAACGAACTCCCAAAGTTTATGACGTATCCCTAACTCGGGGACAACTTCAACATCCAACATTTTATTGGGGTTTTAACTAAACCACAAAACTACAGGCGTTCAGTAAATTTACAACCGCTCCTTGGATCGTGAAATTTGTAACTACTGCCCGTGTCTGTGTGTGTGTAGCTCGACCATTAATGCTATTGGTTAATCACAGATTTTTCTGTAGGTCAGTCTCAAGAATACAAATAGCGTCGGAATTTCAGATTCTTAGTAATCATACAGACTTTCGAAAGTTAATCAATAAGTAGAGAATATAGCTTGTGAATCGGGAATGCGGGAGTTTTGATAGTGGTGTTACTTAGCATTGCCGCGGTATGTTACCTCGTGTTGTCACCGTTTAACATGAATAACCTAGTTTCCGTCTTGACTAAAAAACATAAACGGGATCTAAGTCAGAGGTTATACAGAGTTAGTCTGTGCAACAGTATTGGCATTAACGAAAACACATTTTTACTTGGAAACTTTGGTTTAGTAAGACGTTTGTTCCAAGAAATTTGTCGTTCTAAGACTAGTGTTAGACACATATTCATCAGATGTTTTCAGTTTGCGTCAAGCTACTGATATGTGAGCACCTTATTTCTGATCTAGGGGCAAAGGTTTACAATACCTTATCACTTATAGGTCACTTGAACTGAGTAGTTTTCAAACCAGTGCTACCAAATGATATTTTGTCAAAAATACTGAAAATGTAAATCCACCTAGGCCTCAGAATTTCGTAAGTTGCATTGTTTCGTATTTATTAACTCAAATACATGTCGAAACTATGAGTGATAAGTAAGCAAAATCTGTAGATGAGCGTAGTCATACATCTGCCTTAATATCCTCAGAATGGATTAGATTATGTCTATATAAACATATAAACCATATAAGCAAAAAACTACGGAGCTTGACACCAAAAGCATTGAGACAGGTCACAGGGTTGGCTTTATTAGTAGATTCTAAGTTTACCTGTAAAAATACCATGTGTTCACCATGGATCTGAACTAACAACCATTCATCTTCTTGAAAAGCTGCAGTAATACTATAATTTCCTAGTTTTATTTTGCATTGTCATTTATGTTTCTATTTATCACATATTTCCTATGAAATGCATTTCAAGGCATATCTATTATCCCACTGTTCAAATGCCCTGGTACGGCCGAGAGTGGGGAGAGTCCGCTCTCCCTCTTGAAATGCTCTCACATGGCCACGCAAATGTATAGCCTCTGACAGGGAAGTCTCACTCACTGCTTTCTCGTGGCATTACTGTTGTTTACGAAATTGAGAGGACGGAAAGCGAATGTCCGCAGCTTTAACCGGGTTGGTGGACACGAAAAGCTTACCTAGGGAGTTGGAAAACCCTGATTCTGAGCCAATGGTGCACATGGGCTCCAGTATCGTGAGGGAACAAATGGCGTATGAATCAATCGTTGGTGACTGGCTATCATGGGACTGCATCTCCTTACGATGCTCCACTGGCTTGTCAGTCAGTCAGCTACAACGTAGGACCAGGTACATATATGCATCGGTCCAAGTTGCCATACCTCGTTAGCACAACAAGATGAACACCGGATTCATAGAAGTAATTAATTTAGTGGTGGTAGTATATAAAGAAAGGTTGTATATAAGGATATAGTATAGGAAGGAAGAAAGTTATGAAGTAATTTTAATCTCAAGGTTTAAGGGAAGATAAAGAGTGTATACACCTACGCCGTTGTTATCTGCCTTGTGAACTAGACCTTCAGGTCCAAGGCTCGGGGTGTGGCATCCTAAGAAAACCACGTGCTTCAGTTTGGGCGCCTGGGCAGTACCACAGCCTTCACACAAATCAAATGAGATTTGTGAGGCGCATATGTATTCGGTGCTCCTTTGTACTAATATTCATGTGTTAAAATATAAAATAAAATAAAAATCACTGTTGGGAAAGTACATCACAAGTCCCATGTTAATTCCGTCTTCCCATTCATTTTCATACATTAACTAAGTACTGAGTTTTTTTCTCATTTTCGTAGCTTCCTTGAAATTCATTATGATGGCAAATGATAGAGCTATTTCTGTAGCCATACATTCTTTAATTGTTTCAAATAAAAATACAGTAAATTACTTGCAACTCATAAACAATTTTTCGTAGTCGATTTTTTACCACACTGTGAGAGCTAGTAATACTACTGAGCCGCGTAGATAAAGTATATAGAGATTTCAAAACTGTTAATTCTTTGTTGAAATTCAAATCCTTTAACCATTAAGACACAGATCAAACGCTGACTTCAATCAGAAGTAATGGGAGGTTCATGTTATCAGCCAGTATCACTTACCATCGTTTTTTATTTATCGTTGTTTTTAGTGAATCAAACTAGTCACGGTTGTTGAGTATCACTTCTCTTTTTCAGATAGTTTGCTATTTTAGTACTTTTAGTCCTATTATGTTATTTACTGCTAGTTTTCATGGATCATAATTGTAAGGCGAAAAGAAACGTCTTACTGATTCTCATACCCATCCATCAATGAACTGTCAAACATTTCACTGCCCTAAAACTTCCACGTATTAGAGAACATTTAGTTAAGCTTAGCAAATGACATTTACTAAACCGTCATAAGTACGTGCAAAGATAAGAATATTAATAAGAATATTTGGGACATGTTAGTTTCAAGTATATTCATGAATAACACCATCATCTATCTTTATGTTTTTTAGACTAATTAATTAATAAATGCAAATGAACGGTGTTACTCAGACTGACTTTAAAGAATTCATCAAATTACACAATGATCAACTAAGAGCAAGTGGAATTCCTAGTCTATTTTGGCGTAGACTACACGAAAAACTTTTACATGAGGTGTTGTTGTATTTAATTTTGCATAAATAATATTTTTTACAGATATATGATGCTAACACAAGTGTTATGATGCAACAAATCGAATATACAAATGACGAAGGTGATGATAATGAAATTGGAAGCGAAGAGTTGACTGTTAATTGTAACTGGAATATCTTAGTTTGTAGTGATCAACTTTTAGTGTCAGATAGTAATAAGTATGAAAAATCTAACGAGGATATGATTAGTTTCAATAAAATTATTGTAGTATATTTCTCGTTGATCATGCGTGGACTTTTGATGTGCAATCTATGAAACAGTGCTTACTTCAATATCCTAGTCTCTTAGAACGAATGGCTTCATTAATGAATATAAATACTTTAAATGAACCAAATGAGGATATCGCTTCAGATATTTGTAAAAATGTATGGAAGTAAGTTGCTTGTTGTTTTCGTACGTTCTCATGATACACGTTCCTGTAACTGACTAAGATTTCGTGTCCATTTGTTTTTTCCAACCCACATTACCTGGCCTAGCCTTAGTGTTACATCCCTCTGTCCATGTGTCATTATTCTATCTGTAATCTTGAATGAACACAATTGCTCCAGTCGCAAATGTTAAGGTTTTCAATGGTATCGTTTTCAATAGTTAGACCTTATCAGTAACATCGGGCGGTTGATTGTTCTCAATCTGCGACTCATGAAGACTTCCGCTAGTGATCGCCAATTTGTTAGTGTATCGTTTCGTTTAGCTCTGTACACTAACAAGAAACCTTGAGATATGATAATGCATGTTCGCCTTCTGTAATTTCAATAACACTACTAATTCAGTGGATTTTCCTCGAAGGTGTTCGAATCTCGCCGTTGTCGCCACTGTTATGGAGGAAGTTTTTGATTATCTGATGAGGAAACTTCCAACTTTTATAATTTATGAGTTCAATGCTGATCGACAGATAAATTCAATTATGTGATATGCTCGAGTAATGGTTGTTCGCAAGACTATTATTAACATATGCTCTCTAATGATTAAAAATAAAAAACAAGACCACCAGCTAGATAAACAGATTTTTTTGTATAGTAATCTAAAATACTTATATACAGAATTTAAATACCTAATAAATAAAATCTCATAGGCGATTGTAGGAAGTTAACTCGTTCTCCAATCAACTAAGATCTGGTTGTTGGACTTAATTATCAGGCATCTTATTAGGTTCAACGCTAAGTACTCGAATCTGTAGCTGGTTGATGGGTTAATAATAATTTTCATATTTTCTAGGGATCTATTTCACTTATCTAGATCTTGTTTTGTCTTTTTCACTTGGAAGATATTGTAGATATTATAAATTATCAACACAGGAGAATATGTCATTGTTATCACAAGTACCTGAGTTACAACAAACAATGTGGTATGTATTGGATGAAGTTGGATCACGTATTCAACATTCTGATGAGCCTACAGGTATTTACATATATATATGGGCGTGACTACTATTATGTAAATTTAAATTGGTAAATTCGTACCAGGCATTTATAAGATAAGCAAACAACGTCAACTGTTTAAAGAAACTTTTTCTCAACAATTTTCACTCAAGGTTCTATAGTTATTAAGTCTGTACATTTTCAGAATGATACCAAGCGTATGTATATATTCGGTGTTTGGAGGTTATCAGCGGGGAACTCTGGACTTGTTTTTCGTGCTGTTCGGTACTCATAAACAAGGTATGTACCGCAGTATTTAGGTGACTGATGCTCTTTATGGAATTCATGCCCACATCTCCCGTCCTCATAGTTTTAGACACTACCACTAAGGTGTTCGTACCGTGGCTGACGTGCAACAGAGATGTTAACAATGATTAATTATCACCCAATATTGTACAGTACATGCTATGTTAAGTCACTTACACTAATAATCTCATTACGACTTGATCGATAGAATTCGATCAGCACGAAATAAATCAGCACTAGATAAATATGACACTGGTCAGTACTTAATGATCAGTGAACATAAAGTAACATGCAACTTGGCAATACTAAATGTTTGTGTATCGTCTTAATATTGACTGGTTGAATGCGCTTGTTTAAGAGAATTAATTGATATTTATTTAATTAATTTCGGGCTCTGGTTTGGATCATATTCTGTCGACCAAGACTGCTCGTTACAAATAGCAAATCTCAACCACTAATCATAACAGTTAGTGGGAATTAGGGCTTAATGAACTTGTTTCAAAATTTAATTAAACTGCCTTCTATTTAATGCTTAATTATATAAATTTTCGTTGTTTGGTTAAAGGAATTCAAACTAGTATTTACAATTCTAGAGTTCTCTTGAAACATTGTTTGTTTTTTCGCTTACATATTTCCAGCTCGTATGGTACCATTTTACTATGTACCACGTAACTTATGTTATTCTGTGTTCTGGCCCATTAAAGATTTACAAAGGAATGGTAATCATTCTACCTGTCATTTATCGTATTGCTCTTAACAATAATGATAATTATTATTACTATTATTGTTATTATTTGTGCTAGTGTACAATTTCATTGAATCCAATAATTGTGATTTTGTATTCCTTTAAAAATATGAGTATAGATTATGGGAAAATATCTCATCCTGTATAGAATATAGATCTATGGCAGGTGTAGACTACCTGGTTGGGATCCGCGAGATGATATCAATCGATGGTTAGAGACCTTGAATGACATGGCTCAAAATCGTTTGCAATGACGAAGGTTCATCCACTCTTTGTGTTCTACCGAATTCCAGTCCTCTGAGTTCTTCATGTCCCTTTCTTTTTTCTCTTTCCAAATATATATATATATATACCAGGTTTCTTCAGGACATAGGCTATCTGTATAGTCGGGGAGTAACATATCCAATACACATATAAATATCAGCATTCAGAACCACAGGAAAAGATAGAGAGAAAAAATGTAATAAAATTTATTAAATGCACTTATATTTAAATATTCTACTGTTATTATTTATTTATTTATTTAAACACATAAATATTGGTACAAGAAAGCACCAGATAAATATACGCCTCACAAATCTCATTCGATTTGTGTGAAAGCTGTGATACTGCCCAGGTGCCCAGACTGAAGCAGGAACGTCACTGATACCATTTTTAAGTTTGTACAACGATCTGGGTTCCAGTTCTGGTGTACGTGACATGCGTAATTCGGTATGATTGTAGAATGATATATCTTTTTGATTTCAAAAAGATTGAAAATAGTCGAAAATAGTAGATTTTCATTTTCAAATGGAAAAATTCAACAATGTTACTTAGAGTTATGACGTAGTTGTTTTGACAAGTGACTTTTATAAATTCATTAACAAGTTTTATACTCAATGCACCTACTTCGGCTTGGAAAATCGGATTGTAAATCTGATTGACCACTAAGTGTAAAACAAGCAGGCGCTCAGCTTACTGTCTATTAAATATGTGATTTCCTTTTCTCTCATTGATTCCTATTATGAACTCATTGTGAGTGACTGCTTGTAATTATGTAAAATATTGTCTAGCGTTACTGTGCTTCTTTATTTGTGATCGTGAATCAGGTATCTGATATAATGTTTTCTAGTCTGTGTTTAGCGGATCGTTCGAGTATCCAATCTGGCAGTATTCTAAACTTGGTCATCTGGTCAAGTATTATTGTCGTAGTAGCGTAGTATACGGCGGAAAAAGAAATATTTTAATCTACTAGTTAATAACGCTTTTTTTTAAAAAGATTTATTGTTGTACAAATTAATTTATCTATCATACTAGTGTGTTTTGATTATATTTTTGTAAATACGTAATTCAAACCTTTCAGTATAGGATTGTGGAGATTGTTGAGTTTTTAATTGAAACTATGAACCGATCAGTATTAGACTGCCATTAACAACTTGGAAGCACTAAACGGCCGTTTCGTTCGAATACAGGACTCTGACAGTGAGCACACACGATTCTGTACGCGGGACTCAAGTCCAAAGGTTGAGTGTTCGCACTTGGATTCGAGTCCAGCGTGCGGAATCGTGGATATAAACTGCTAGACAGTCCCATACTAAGACAAAACGGCCATCCAGTGCTTCCAGGTTTTCAGTGGTGGTCTAACGTTATTCGAATCATGATCTCAATTAAAACCTTTTAATTAGCACATTTGCTTTTTTTCAGAAGAATACAATCTATTAGCTGACTATAATAAAATAGTTATATTTTTCATATTTTCATTTTATTTAGATAGTATCACAATTGACTATGTAGAACATGTAAAAAATCCTGAATTACGACCTTATTATTTATTACCTTGGGAATCAGAAGATTTTTCTAATGAACCTATTGAACATACATACATTTTGACAGATGAATATTTTACAGCAAGTGAAACTAGTTCAAACATTTAATTAATATTATAACTTGAAGTTTTTTATTGCATCATTATATTTTTGTATTTTTTTTAATGTCATGTTAAATTATCCTTAAATACGTGAGCTTGTTAAATGCATATCACCTTAACGATAGGCTTACTGCCTAGACTTAAATTCATGCAACGCTTATTTTTGTTCAATGTAAGGGCGATGACTATTTCTCTTATATTCATTTATTATTCAATTTAATTTATCCAGTTGTATAAATATGTTACCGTTTCTAAGTTAATTTTCGATACATTTACTGCAGAGCTATAAGTTCCGTTGAATTTTTTCAAGATACATTATCACTGTTTTCCTAGCAAGTGAACTATCACTTTCTAATCTACTGTACTGTCCAAAAATATCGTGTAAGGACTCCATTATAATTGGTATGCAATCTAGTGAATGTGATAAAAATTTAAAATCAGTAATGGTAATTAATAAGATTGAGACCTAATGCATATATATATGAAATCATGAGTCAATTGAAGCTAGACCACCAAGGGAACCCTGGAAGTACAAAACACCTTCTAAATATGCCTTAATTGTATACTCATTTATTACTTACATGTTCGTGTATTCAGCTTTCAATCACATTATATATGTAGGAACTATATTACTCAATCCTCCAAACCAAGTTCGGTAGGTCGTAATCAGAAATTACGACTTTGTGATTGGAAGTCGAAAGCCACAGCTCCACGAACTAGTTATTCAGACAAATCTACTGTGTACTGTTGCTGAAAAAAATATTAAAATAATTCATAATTCAGATTAACTTTGCTTGTAGCTATTTTTTTCCTCGTTATTTACACACACTTTTTTGATTACAGTCTCATCGAGTACAAGAAAAATTACCAATATGTCAGATCAATGAACCAATTAAACGGGAATATTTTACTGTTTATACTGATTTGAATCAAGTCAAACAATATTTAACTCATTCACAATTTACTTTTGTTGATTCACCAGATAAAGCTGATATTATCTGGATGTATACACATTTCAAGGATTTTGAGTTAGTTCTTTTATTTATTTATTTATTTAGACACATAAATATTGGTACAAGGGAGCACCAGATACATGTGCGCCGCACAATCTCATTCGATTTGTATGGGGACTGTGATACTGCCTAGGTGCCTAAACTGAAACAGGTGGTTTTCTTGGGGGGCCACACCTGGAGCCTTTGACCTAAAGGTCTGATCCACAAGGCAGTGGAGCATCGTGAGGAGATGCAGTACCATGGTAGTCGGTGACCAGTGATTGATTCATATGCCATTTGTTACCTCAGGATACTGGAACCCATGTGCACCATTGGTTTGGAATCAGGGTTTACCAACTTATTATCACTTATTACCAAGTTATTTTTAAATGAAAAACTTCTTTAATATTTCATTGTTCAAGATTATATTTATTGACTATTTGTGCTCTGAAAATGATCTAAATTGATAGAGTTTTTAAGGGTTTAAATCTCGCCCGTGATCTAACGATTTTTGTAACTATTTCACTAAAATGTTATTTTTAATACTTACTACAAGTACGGTCAAAGTGCTCGACTTTCAACTAGTAGGTTGCTTGTTTAAATTTCGTTTCTATCTACTTCGCTTTTAGTACTCGTATAGTATCAATAAATTATATACAAATAGTAAATCGAAGTACATAAACTTGCACATGATGAGTGAGTTGCATTGTTATTATTATTACAACCTGATCAATAAAATTCCATTAGCACTAAAGACCAGACGTGCGTAACATCAGTCAATGTAAATATCTTAGTCCTGCAAGTCAGTCGCAGTCGCACTAACTTAATTGTAAGGTATCATTCTGTGAAAATGAGTGACTCGGATTCGAATCCCATCGACTACCAGTCCCCTTAAGATTACAGATACGCCTTGCTGATAAATACCAACTAGTACGAATTATAGATTCAAGGTTCCCTCCTATCTATCTCAAATTACGTATTATTTTTTATTCCTTTTTTTTCATTTATGCATATAACTTCAATTGTTATTCAACGATCTAACTCTGTCTACACGCAGATTATCTTTTTCTATTGTTGCTATCCATTTTCTGTTTATTTATTTTTGGATAGACGATTATCTATAGACAGTCCAAATACGTATATTAATCAGTTCCCTGGTGAGTACGTCATCACCGTTAAGGATTATCTAGCTAGTTTAGCAGCAAGTTTAGCTGAAGAAACTTATATGCAACAATCTAACGATCTAATGCATGATAATATTGATGCAAAACTTTCAACCAATTGGTATCCAGTTACATTTAACTTAGTGTATGAACTTCCACAATTTTGTGCTTATTTCCAATCGAATTATGTAAGTTTGGTTTTTCAATTAAAAAAAATTAATATACTTAGTTTCAAGTCACTTTTCTGGTGAAAGTTAATGATAGTATTTAATTCTCTTTGAAATTGACAGAACGGATTTCGATTCTATGTTCTATCAGCTCTGAAAGTCTGTTGTTTTAATCACCAAGACATGGATATTAAATTCATAAAGGCGTTGTTACTTCTACCACAGAGCGAATTTTCTTCCACTCTTCAGGATTTCGTAAAATTTAGTTTTAATTTAGTCACCGTGACTAGGAGCTTGTTCTTTCTACCTTACATTTAACAGCAATCAGTTCCGAAGACTACAGAACGAGCTGTCGATCACATGTCAAAAAGTTCTCATGGCCTATTTCTATCTGACGTTTTTACTAATGATGTTTGTCTAGGATCAGGATTAAAGTTTCACGATCAAACCACCTAACTCAGAGAATGCCATTTCAGCACAATATGTATTCATACAGTTAAGTTTTATTTTTCCCTGCTGTATCATAAATTGTATTTCTTGTACAAAATCATCTTTCTGCAGAATAAAATCATTAGTACTAATGAAGAACCTGGAAGAAATGATAAACATAATTTATGGATATTGAAGCCTTGGAATCTTGGTCGAGGTGTGGGGATTGTGATTACTGACAATTTGGATAGGATAATAAAAACTTGTGATGGTAACCCAATGGTAAGGGAATTTATTCACGCTATAACTATATAATCCAAACATAGCTTCAAATAAATTGAACATTAGAGGGGATGGTTTATAGTAATAATAACAGCAATAGTATTAATATATTTGTGATATCCCACTGAGTATAAAATTAATTTCCTTACGTTTCTGATGTTTCACAACTTACTGTAATCCGCTTCCTCAGAAAATGAATTTGTAACTAAGTTAAATTAATTCAAATTTGAATGGCTTTAATGGAAGAGTATTTGATAAGTAAACCATATTTGTAATTTTATAAAATCAATTAATTCAACGCCGATCGATCGATGAAATCCAATACAGCTAGGTGATATCTGCTCACAGAACTCCCTCTAAACTATCTGCGATCAAATGCAGGATCACTAGTCAAAATAATATGTTCTAAAATATAGCATTTTATTGTGTAAAAACTATTAGCATAAAAATAAATATGGTAACAATATCCCTGGCAATTAGAGGGAATCAGCTTTGTTTAGTTCATTTACTTTCCAATCAGTTATGATGTCATTCATGATAATACCAATAAAACCATTTATTCAAAATATGTTACTATGTTCTTATTATGCTCTGGGAACATTTCTCGTGGTCAGCTTTGACAAATTACATTGCAAACTGTCTCATGGTGTTAATACTTTGAAATTTTTGTTAGAAAACCCCGTATTTCAATCTCATTATAAAAGAAGGTCATCATCAAAACGTTTTAAAAATTAAAAGTTAGTTAGTCAGCATGTGTATAAAGTTATTGAAACGATGTAGTTTGTTAAGTTAGAGTCTATTATTGTTTATATATTTCTCTCATAAATAGGAGTAAATGATAGTTGTCGATAACGTTAGCGTAAATTAAGCCGGGCAGTATTTGGCTCTGACTGAAATATCAGTTCAGACCATAACTTTACAATCAATAAGTGTCAGTATTCAGTAGTCTTGATCGATCTTAACTATAGCTATACAGTTCAAGACTGACTTTTTCTAACACCTCCTGTTGTGGGAAGACATCATTCTTCAACCTGGTTGTCTGAAGAAAACACCTTACTCCTGTTACATCTTAGTACAGTCAGCAGTACTATTTTTTCATGGGACCTTCAGTTACTGTTTTGATCCTCACTATTCTCCAACTGACTTAACTGGTCTAATAATGTCTAAACCAAAATGTGTCTCAGCTAACATAATTTGTTCACACCATTATGATATTTAAACCTAATCACCAAGTCAAGGTACCAACTACGATCGGTAGTGTACCTATATTTTTGATATTTACTATTTTAATTCTGTTTTGTTCTCTTTCATGTTATTCTATTAGATCGCTAGTAGATATATCACATATCCTGTTTTATTTTATCGTAACGATTTACAAGCTAATGTGAAATTTGATATACGCTATGTGGTATTATTACGTTCTGTCAAACCATTAATTCTGTACACATATAAAGTATTTTGGCTTCGATTTGCAAATAAGTAAGCTTTATCCACATTTTAAATTCATTATTTTCTATTGATTGATATTTACAAATGCCCTGGTACGGCCGAGAGTGGGGAGAGTCCGCCCTCTCGAAATGTTCTCACATGGCCACGCGTATATAGACTCTGACAGGGAAGTCCTACTCACTTCCTTCTCGTGGAGGGGGTATTGTTTACAAAACTAAGAGGACAGAAAGCGAATGTCCAGCCCTTTAACTGGGTTGGTGGACACGGCGAGTCCACCTATGGGAGTTGGAAAACCCTGATTCTGAGCCAGTGGTGCACATGGGCTCCAGTATCGTGAGGGAACTAATGGTGTATGAATCGATTCTTGGTCACAGGCTAGCATGGGACTGCAACTTCTTACGATAATCCACTGCCTTGTGGATCAGACCTTTAGATCAAAGGCTCCGGGTTTGTCCCCTTAAGAAAACCACCTGTTTCAGTTTGGGCACCTGGACAATATCACAGCCCTCACACAAATCAAATGAGATTTATGTGGCGCATATATATCTGGTGCCTCTTTGTACCGAATTTTATGTGTTTAAATAAATAAATAAAGACAATGATTAAAATTCTACAGAAGAAAATTTCAGTCAACTTTAGATCCTTCAGTTCACAGAAACATAATTGTTTTTTTTAATAAAAAAGCTAGATTACGCGATCTGACCTAACATGTAGAGTATATTAAAGAGGGCAAGACTATTATTTGTGGAAGAACCATTCAGATTTAATTTGACGAGTCTTGAATTCATTGATACATATGGCTAAATGACATTTTAGTATTATATCTGATGTCATTTTGTGATGAAAACCGTAACTCTAAATTTTAAATCCCGATTTCTCACCCTACTTTATTTATTTTTATTTAAACACATAAATATTGGTACAAGGAAGCACCAGGTATATATCTCATTTGATTTGTATGAGGGCTGTGATACTGCCTTGGTGCCCAAACTGAAGCAGGTGTATTTCTTAGAGGGCCATACCCGAAGCCTTTGACCTACAGGTCTGATCCACAATGCAGTGGAGCATCGAGAGGAGATGCAGTCCCATGGTAGCCGGTGACCAGTGATTGGTTCATACGCCATTTGTTCCATCAGGATACTGGAGCCCATGTGCACCCATGAGCACCATTGATTTGGAATCAAGGTTGTTTTGTTTATTACTAGAAATAGTTTAACACATGAATTTAAAATATGTCATATAAATATTAACATGTTGTTGTTAGTAATATAGATATTTGTCTTCATTTTTCCCCTTTTGAAATTCCTTTTCTCTTTTTCCTGTATGTAGACCATTTATTTTAGACGATTTCGACTCATATGATCGACATTTCACAGTTATGAATTATCGTTCCGCTGAAAATTTAAAACAAGTAAGTATTATAAACACATTATGTATACTAAGTAATGTGACATTTGAAGTGGTAAATATGTTGTTCATCATCATCTTAACTTTGCACTAGTCAACGTTATAAACTCCATATTCAATATCAAAATGTATTTCAGCTCATTTATAGTTATGAATGAATATTTTATCGATGAGATTGTAAATAATATACTACTTTACGTCTGTGAAACGTGGCCATTAAAAGTAAGTTAGTAGTATTCGACCACAGATGTCTTGAAATATTGCTCGCATCTACCGAGATCACCGGGTAATTAGTAGTGAGGTTAGACACAGGGTATTAGGGAATGATGGTAAGTCAATTGATGATGTCATGAGTCTTCATCGACTGAGATGGTTGGGCCACGTGCTTCGTATGTTTGAACATCGATTACCACGACGCACTATGCTGCTTAGTGTCGGGGATGGTTGGAAAACGTGGCATCAGAGCTTGAAGTCACTAACTTCTGGTCTGAGCCATGTTGGTAGATGTATACTACTTGGTTGGGGTCCGCGTGACTATCGTAACCAATGGTTGGAGACTCTGGGTGACATGGCTCAGAATCGATCACAATGGCGTAGGTGTATACACTCTTTATCTTCCCCTAAACCTTGAGATTAAAATTGCTTAATATCTGTCTTCCTTCCTGTACTATATCCTTACATACAATCTTTCTTTTATATATTATCACCATTAAATTAACTACTTTATGTATTCAGTGTTCATCTTATTGTGCTAACGAGGTATGGCAACTTGGACCGATGCATATGTGTGCCTGGTCCTACGTTGTAGCTGACTGAAATAATATACAAATTAGTTAGAACCGATCACACTTTACAAAACAGAAAAGCTAGATGTGTTTGAATTTCTTCTTCAATGCAACATATTTGACCAAACATTCTTTCAAATCTAACCACACTTGGTTTTCAACATTGATGTGATGTGTTGTTAAATCAAAATGTCAAACTGATTTTGTAAAAAGAATGACAATGTTCATCAGAATAATAAAAACCGATAAATACTTAATGTTATGTTGTTGGTTAGGTAATCCTTTCTGACCTAGGTTTCATGACCGGTATCATGTTAATCTTAGTCCTTTTAGCTGGGAGGAGAAATGTGATCTTGATCACTACTCAGTCATCAAAAAGTTGTTAGTAATGCGTATATTGACGCATCCAGCATCCCCATCATAACAATAACCATCTTTTTGTTAATTTTTTCAGATACATTGCGATGAGTTCGTTGAATTGTTCGATAAACAATATCCAGATCACAAATGGTCAACAGTTGAGGTATTTTAAACTTTTCTATTAGTATTGTGTACCTTAGCAGTTTTATTTTGTAATTGGTATTTCTATTAGATGAAACCATTATTATTCCGTAGCTATTAATTGCTACCGATAACCTATCAGCTAGTCTACAAAGGCAACACACAATGTAGCGAACAGTGATAAAAATCTTAAAAGTGAAAACAACTTTTTAAATCATTCACCGTATAACCCAAAGTGTCATATTACTACTGTTTAGGATCTATAATTCAATCCTTTAATATCCCCCTACATGTATTCTGATTAATCCAAAACTGTTCAATATTCCTTAATTGTCAATTATTCTTCAACTGATGTAACTTAGTGATGGCAATTACTTTGAAATCATTATCAGTGTAAGAGATTTATGGAGACAGTTGAACTTCATAGTTTACATCACGAACTGATATTAGTTTAGAAAACCACTGAAAGCTAATAAACACCAGACAGTTGCTTCGTCTTAGCATGGGAATCGTCAGCAGTGCGCATCTGTGACCTCATCTACGACTTTTAAGTCTGACTATGAGCCTTTAATCTTTAGACAGTTGAACTGGCACTCATTAGTATACTCAAATAAAAACAGCTGTTCAATACTTTCTGATTTTCAGTAGCTGCCCGACTAAGATCTACCAGTAATATAAACTATGATAAGTCAGTTAGTTGAATAGTCATTTTGAAAATGTCAACATCACAGTTTTTTCTAATTTGAAAAATATTTACTAACTAAATTTCATTGTAGGGATTCTAATTACGTATTACCAAACTTTTCATATAGTTATGAATACGCTTATATAATCTATCTTCTAGGGCGTTCAGAATATTTTTTATAACGGTATCATTCATGCCTCGAAATGCGCAAGTTAAAAAATAGTGAAGGTTTAAAGTACACGTATCATTATTATTTGAAAATTAGAAAACTAGCAGTAAAAACATACTATAATTTCTTGGATACTCTTGACTATCAGATTTCATCGAAATCATGAACCGATCCAAGTTAGATTACCATTGAAAACATGCAGGCACTGAACGGCCGTTTCTTTCTAGTATAGAATCAGTCTGCATCCGCGACCACCCACACGGGATTCGAATCCGGGACCTATCAGTCTCGTGTGCGAAGGCTTAACTTCTAAACCACTGAGCTTTCATCTAATGGTGCTAATGTCTAACTTTAATCAATCCAAGACATTGCACTACCGTCTTCCATTTTCTTAATTGAGTAACTGTCTTACACTCGACGGAAATTAGCTCTACTGCTCATAGCATCTCACTAGAACTCCGAAAGTTCCATCTCGAAACTAGCCACCAGCGAGCACACGATAATTGTCAGTATGTGGTTATGGAAGTTGTTGAACTGTTAGTTAATCATTAAGAAAAATTTTATTGATATATTACAGTCTCAAACATATTGAATATTATTTTTAAGCAACCCAATTTATGAAATGTTTATTTTTTTTTATTATTTTTCACACAGCTAAAAATACATCGACTTCTAGTTGAAATTTTTCAAGTGGCCACAAAATATCCATCACCACGTGGTCTAATTCACAATGTCCAATCTCGAGCATTATATGCTGTTGATTTATTATTGGAATGGCGTCCAAATGAATATGCTTCCTCTATTAAAAAAGATATATATCCTGTAGTATGTGAAGTGAATTTTTCACCAGATTGTGAAAGAGCATGTCTTTATCATCCGAACTTTTTCAATGATATATTTTCATGCCTATTTCTAGATCAATCATGTGATTCATGTAACATACAAAAACTGACATAAACTTACTGTTATTTGTATATTGTAATCAACTAATCTTCTCAGGGTTATAGACGAAACATAGTAGGAAATAAGTATTGTATATGTGAGGTTATTAATTGTCTACTCTTTTAAAATAAACTGTGCTTCAGTCAGTCACAGCGTAGAACTTCAGACGTACGTACATCAGTTCGAGCTGCCATACCACATTAGCGCAGAGATGAAGTTGTCGACTTAAATCCCATAGTGGTAGAAGTAGTAAGAGGATAAGCAGTAATCCGAAAGATTAGGGTTTGAAGATGTTATTGAAGGAGTATAATACAGTGAGATAAATTTGAAAAGAGAAAAAGGATAGAGACATGAAGAATTCAGATGATTAAAATTCTGGAGAGCACGAAAAGTGGATGCACCGTCGCCATTGCAAACGATTTTGAGCCATGTCATTCAAGGTCTCTAACCATCGGTTGATATGATCTCGCTGATCCCGGCCAGGTAGTCTACACCTACCAACATGGCTCAGTCCACTTGTCAGTGAATTCATGGATTTGTGCCACGTTTCGGTCTGGCCGCCCCTAGCTTTCTTCCAACCTACTCCTACACCATGAAACATTGCATGTCGGGGCAGTCGGTGGTTTGGCATACGTAACACGTATCCCAGCCATCTCAACTGATGAAGTTTCAGTACTTCATCAATCGATTTCCCATCCTTACCTAGTACCCGTTTCCTAACATCTGCATTACTTACCCGGTGGTCCCAGGATATACGAGCAATGCGTCGAAGACACCTATGATCGAACACTAGTAGCCTACGAATATCCTTACTCTTATCGGCCATGTTTCACTGCCATAAAGTAGGACGGAACGAACTGCTGCACAGTAAACCCATCCTTTGGTTGCTAAACGGATATATCGCCTACGCCTTAAATGACGCAAGTTAGCGAAAGTAGACGAGCCTTCTGTATCCGTGCTGAGATTTCGTCACACACCAGACCACAAGGGCTGATGAGACTCCCAAGATAAGTGAAGCAGTCAACACGCTCAACTACTTCACTCCATATCATTAGTTCAGGTGTCGATGCAACCCAGTCCTGGAGTAACATTTTGCACTTCGAGGGAGAGAATCGCATTCCGAACATGCCTGCACAGTTGCTTATAGTGGTCAGAAGACTCTGCATCATAATAATGTTACTGGTGTGTGTACGCTAGATAGAATTGAGACGTGTTAATTCTGGCTAATAACAATTCTACTTTGCGAGAATTTAACGATAATCCTTCTATAAATTTGGTAGGATATCACTGTCGTTGACAAATCATGTTATTATTAAAATTTCTCTCACATATTTTTTAAACAAGAATATTGGTGAACGAAATCTTTAAACCATGCATATGTTGTAATGAAAGAGTTTGCAATTTGCGGTTTACAAATTTTACTCAGAATCCTTCGTTTTCAGGTTGAAAAAAATCTGTTGTTAATCAACATATTTGGTAGCGGATTGCTGTCATTGCAAAATAATTTTCTAGACCAATGTAATTGACTCGAAAAATCCAAATTAAAAAGTTTGTGCTATGCACAACTTCGAATGTTTTCTAATTTAACGCTCGATTCGATTTGCCTAGCCGCTTCTAATAAACACAGGTTGAATCTACATATCAACTAAAACACAAGAGAAAAGGCGCGAGTTGTAAAACCAAAGATAAGTGATAATGATTCATTTGACTCGCAAAAATATATCGAAATGATTTGGGAATAAACCACCTTTAATATATTATTTATTTGCAGTCCAATCAACGGTAAAATTGGTTTAAATTGTACTAAGTTGTATTTAACGATAATAATTCAATAACTAACTGTGAGTCAATGGTATTGAGCTCTCTTAAAGGTATTAGGGCGGTTTTCACTTTTCGGTTGCCCACACCATGGTAGGGTTCTTCTAGAGGCACCTAAAGAGGAAATTAGGTTAGAGTTGATCTTAGTAACCTGAGAGTGACCGCAGTGCCAAAACGACAACTGCTTGAGGCCAGTCACACACGACCGCTTTGTGGGTAATTTTTGTGTTAGCCCCGTACTTGTTGGGACCTAACGGCCGGAAACGGGAATCCGTGGGATAATGCAAGGTGTTTTTTAAAGTCGACCTTATATAACCCACCCTTCTTTGTGGGAAGATAGCATCGCTGTTTTGCTGGTTGTCTGAAGGAAACACATTACTGTCAACACACTTCTACAGTCAGTAGTAAGACTTCGCCCTTGGATTTGCTGCTTTTAGTTTTACCGTTCTTCAGCCGACCTGTCTGGCATATTAGGACCTTGAGGAACGATTATTCGAGCCACTATAGCCCGATTGGCTCATCACGATAGGCAAGCTCGACCACCACTTCAAGGTAACAGCAATGAGTTGGTGTGAACATACACTTAGCATATTATATAACTAAGCATCTGTAATCCTTGTTAAGTTGTGAATACATGGGGCATACAACGAAAAAAAAATCGATCTCATATGTCTTTTGCTCCTTGATTATTATTACTCGCCATATCACAACTGGTTATCTCCAGGTTTGTATTTTTAGCCGATGATTCAACTGATTACAAATTTTATTAATATATTTGATGCATTAATCAAGCGTGCATTACAAAATTAAAATTGCCCTAAAAAAGTTGCGCAATCCTCAATATTTGCCGTAGGACATAATACTATTCTATGAAGTCGCTGATAGTATATCTAAGCTAAAAGTGAGTGTTCAAATACAAAGCTCAATCTTACAGGTACGTGAGTATAAAATAATTCACCGAAGGACGCCTTGTATTTCTCTTTTGTCTCTAAACGTAACGGATCAAGGTTTACAATATCTCTTTGATTTTTTTTCTGGAAGTGATTTGATTGATTCGTTAGTTAAATGGTCGCATAAAAGTTAGTCGACTAATCGTATTCAAATCAAGAAGGTAACCGAATCTATTTTCATTAAATTAATGTATTAAAGAAGCACAACGTTGTTCCTATTATTTTATACTGTAGCTTCATTGCAAAAGGGATATTGGAACACGGTACAACATACCCTCACGCACATTACTTAAAAAGATGAAACGGTTCAGTAACACAATAATGACTAATGTAATAACATACTATTTTATTTTTATAGAAAAAATCAAATGAATCTACTCAGAAAGTAACATTTATTCGAATCGTAGGTACTTAAATCAAATTAAGAAAAAATGAAATCATCTTTTTATATGACTAGTGAAGTAAAGATCAACATATTTAGTAGGAATGGACAGTCAGAAAAAGTTTGACAAACAGACAGACACACAAATGATTCTTTGGAAAGGAAGAAAGCATAGAAATAATATTCATTCAATGTGGTAAATTATAAATGTCTACACAAAAGACAACATAAATTTGTCAAGAAAGTTTAGCATAGCAACACAATTTCTTTGTCACAATAAATGAAAGCTACATAATTGTTGAAATTGAGGGAAATCAAAATGCAGGTTTAGAACACTTAAATCACCAATCATACATGAGGGGTTATTTATGTGTATCTGTGTACACGATATATATCTATGACAGACAACGTATGACGGTCCCCAAAGGAAGACGGATTTTTGTGATATATATATATAAACGGATCAATTGAGCAGATGAATCGAAATGATCACCGTTTGTTATCGTTTTCTCTCTGCTAAATCACTCGGAATGAAAATACACCCGCAAAACATTTAGAAACACAAGATCCTGTGAGACTAGTAGTCATTAGTTGCATTTTCGAAAAGAAAAAAGTCAGATGTTTTTCTGAATTAAATTGTTACATAATATGTAATAAGAATGTTAACAGTGGTAAACAGCACTATTCTGTCAGTATAATTGAACAGATGCAAATAGTTTGCTGCTTAATGACTGAACATCGGGATTAGTATCAACATTAACGTTGACAGGATCACTTTTAGCAGCAGTAGTCTGTTGTTCATATCGTATATAATTTAAAGTATTCTTAAAATGTACTGTTATGTGATCAGTGACAGGAGATGGTTCTAAACTGTTCAGTAAATTCCTAATGTCACTAATGGTATCATTTATTCGGTCATCAGTTATCTGTAAAAAAAAGACAAAACAGAACATGGAGAAAATAGATTTGTAAGTGAAAAGTATAAATAGAATAATATAAAACAATTGTAACAGGAAGATAAACAAGACTGACTGGTAATAATCAAATGAAAATAGGAACCATCTTTAATTGTGATTGCTGGTTCACTAAGTGATTCAGTGCATTTATTGTTTAGTCAAAATATGAAGTTGAGCACCATGAATAAGCTGATTTCGGGCTCTGTCAAAAGTATGATGGCAAATATCATTTCTCAGCTCCCTACATACAGTGAAGGGATACTACTCGAAGTACCTAAAAATGATTCTGTGTTGGGAGTTGTCCTAAAGACTTGGAAGCGTGGCTTGAGGAAACAAATTTTTGAGACCAGTAACAAACAGCTTGTTTCGTGAAGGTTACAGATGTGTTAGCTCTTGTCCTTTTAAGGAATCATCGCCGGCGACGGAAATTTGTAGAACAAGATGAGGCGTATTATTTTCAAGGTCGGCCTTTCTTAGCCTTGGTCCCAACATAGCAAGGTTACAGTATACTAGTTGTCTGTGGAAAACAAATTACTTTTGCGTCAGGTGTACAACTTTGACCCAGACCGATATTCATATTACACATATTCGCTCCCTTCTGGCTTATCTGGAAATATACCCTTTCAAAGGCATTTCGTATCTAATTTCTATTATTCCGTCGGTCAATGTGACACCATTAAGAACATATAAGATTAAACCAGTGACCTATATTTCATTAGAGTCAGATGAGTTACCACAAGTTGCTACTTTCAGTCTTATCGCTGTACAACTGACCTGCATAGGACAGTAGGACCTAAAGGAACGAGTGTTTCAACCATCATAGCTTACGAGGGTCATCACGATATGCTACAAAACATCACCCACTATAAACGAGTATGAATTTTGACAAGAAATTAGCTCTTGATAATT